CTGGATGAGGGGATGGATTGCACCCTCAGCAAGTTTGCAGATGACACTAAGCTGGGGGGAGAGGTAGATACTCTTAAGGGCAGAGATAGGGTACAGAATGACTTAGACAAATTGGAGGATTGGGCCACTAGAAATCTCATGAGATTCAACAAAGACAAGTGTAGAGTCCTGCACTTGGGACGGAAGAATCCTAAGCATAGTTACAAGCTGGGGACCAACCGGTTAAGTAGTAGTTCTGCAGAAAAGGACCTGGGGGTTACAGTGGATGAGAAGCTAGATATGAGTCAACAGTGTGCCCTTGTAGCCAAGAAGGCTAATGGCATATTAGGTTGCATTAAGAGGAGCATTGCCAGCAGATCCAGAGATGTCATCATTCCCAAAAATCTGAAATGTATCAGAGGAATTTGGAAATGTTTCAAGTGGATGGTACAACTGATACAACCACAACAACATTCTATTGGGGCCTTGAAGTACCCCTCTCCAGTTTTACATTGCTTCCATCACTTGTCTTCTCCATGCTATAGTAGTTTCCCTTGGGCACTACTACTGCCAGGACTGTCCATCACAATGAAGCAAAACTTTTCTGGATCTCAGTTGTGATAATAAATACCTAGAGGACCTGACAAAGGACCCTGCCTATCTCATAGGAACACAGGACATACAAGCAAACCGATGCCTTCTGGACCTTAACCCTGTTTTCTGCTGTAACCTACAATCCCATCCATATATTTATTAAACTCCATATTGAGTTCCCCATGGATTTTTTTCCCCTTTTCCCCTCTCCCTGAAGTTTAGAGACTGTTATAAGAGACTGTTTATTGAACTGAAATGCTGCTGCCAGAATCATTACTGAGAACTGTAGGTCAGATTCTCAGTTCTGAGCAGATCCCCTTTCATGGCTCTGTGGCATGAGAGACGTATCGCTGCTATAAAAAGGCAGCTGGAATTTTCCCTTTTCTAGGGGAATCTCTGGCTGGCATAGCAGGCTTTACACAACTCCCCCATACACAGGGAAGTACTAGCTGCATAATGGAGTTTCTGTCTAGCCTACATAGAATGTTAGATTCCAAGGACAGAAGGGACCATTGTGATAATCCAATCTGACCTCCTGTATTACACAGACCAAAGAACTTCCCTGAAATGATTCCTTTTGAATCAGAACATGTCCTAAAACAACCTTGATGTAAAACATTGCTAGTGATGATGAACCCACCACAACTGTTGGTAAATTATTCTTAGTTAAATACCCTCAGTATTAAAATGTTATGACTTATTTCCAATCTAAATTTGTCTATCTTCGATTTTCAACTATTGGAACATGTTATATGTTTTTCTGCTACACCGAAGAACCCATTAATAGCTATTTGTTGGTGAGTGATCAAATCACCCTCTAACCTGTTTGTTACACTAAATAAATTGAGGTCCTTGAATTTATCACCAGAAGACATGTTTTTTAATCCTGTGAGTACTCTTGTTGGTCATCACTCAACCCTTTCCAATTTATCAACATCTTTCTTGAACTGTGGGCAACGGAACTTGACACAGGATTTCAGCACTGGTCACACCAGCGTCAAGCATAAAGGTGAAATAATTTCTCTGGTTATGTCCCAGGATCTTATTAGCTCTCATATTCAGCTGATTATCCACCATGATCCCTAAATCTTTTTCAGAGTCATTGATTCCCAGGGTAGAGTCCTCCATCTTGTAAGTATGATCTACCTTCTTAGATGTATTCGTTTACATTTAGCTGTGTTAAAATGCATACTATTTGCTTGTGCCCAACTTACCAAGAGATCCATATCACTCTCTATCAGTGATCTGTTTTCTTCTTTCTCTGGTTATGTCCCAGGATCTTATTAGCTCTCATATTCAGCTGATTATCCACCATGATCCCTAAATCTTTTTCAGAGTCATTGATTCCCAGGGTAGAGTCCTCCATCTTGTAAGTATGATCTAGCTTCTTTGTTCTTAGATGTATTCGTTTACATTTAGCTGTGTTAAAATGCATACTATTTGCTTGTGCCCAACTTACCAAGAGATCCATATCACTCTCTATCAGTGATCTGTTTTCTTCATTATTTATCACTCCCTCAATATTTGTGTCACACAAATTTTGAGTGATAAGTGAGGGCAGCTGGAGTTGAACTGGCTTCTATCTGCCTTAGGACCCCTTCGGGTGTTAATGTATTTAAGTTTATTTCCCTCTTTCTGCCTTTCTTCTACATTCCCTCTCTCCCCCCACTCAGCCATTATGATAACTTATTAATATTTTATTTGAATTGTTCTTTTATTACTGTTGCCTCCTTTAGTTACAGTGCCTGACTACGTCTAGACTGGCATGATTTTCCGCAAATGCTTTTAACGGAAAAGTTTTTCCGTTAAAAGCATTTGCGGAAAAGAGAGTCTAGATTAGCACGGACACTTTTCCACAAAAGCACTTTTTACGGAAAAGCGTCCGTGCCAATCTAGACGCGGTTTTGCACAAGAAAGCCCTGATCGCCATTTTCGCGATCGGGGATTTTTTGTGCAAAACAATACCGCGTTGTCTACACTGGCCCTCTTGTGCAAAAGCATTTGCGCAAGAGGGCTTTTGCCCGAACGGGAGAAGCATAGTATTTCCGCAAGAACACTGACAATCTTACATGAGATCGTCAGCATTCTTGAGGAAATTCAAGCGGCCAGTGTAGACAGCTGGCGAAAAAAACTTGCCAGTCTGGACGCAGCCCCTCTGTTTATTTACAGAGTATGATCTACCGATTTCTTTCACCCTCTTAAGTGAACCCTAGATATGGGCATATTTGAAGAATAACTGCCACAGGGTGGCAGTTGGAAGGGTCTGCACAAGCTGCCAGATGAACCAAGCCCTGCCAGGGTGGGTGTGGAAGAAGACATGAAAGATTAAAAGCTGGGGGGTTTCTGCTTACATTTCCATCCCAGCTGACTCTGAATTGGCAACAGTGAATTACTAGTTGTCCACAGCTGGGCCCACCCCTCTTACCTACTCCGTCAGGGAAGCAGAGGGTCTGGGTCCTCTCTCCATAGGGTAAGACAGGTTCTTTGGCGCCTGCTAAGGCAGGCCCCACATCCACATGGAGCCAGGGACGCTTGCCACTCTGGTGATTATGTGCATCTGACTGGAGCCCCCTCTGCCATGCCCTGCAGCTGCCATTCCTGATCCTCTCCTGAAGGGTGGTAGGGAGAGGTTCTTTAGCTTGGTGCTTATGCAGGGCTGGGGTAGGTACACAGCTCTGACATCCCCAAGATGGGGTCTGTGAATGACAGGGACCCAAAAGAAGGGGCAAGGGCAGAAGAGGTAGGGCAACAAATCACAAGGATGTGTGAGCATGGACCGTGTGTGCAGTTCTTAAATGACCAGTGGCAAATATTTTCCCTCCTGTTTATACTGTTGTTTAAGCTCATCTGCTCTCTGTTGCCCACTAGAAACAGTGGCCTGTTTGTGATGTCACATTGGTTACTGTGGGTGTGTTAATGTTTTGATACACTTCTGTTAGATGATGTCAGCAAGTTGCATAAGGGAGGACAAAGGCTTTTTGTTAAGCTCCTGGAGTTATTCGACTTGCTTATTTTCTTGTGCTTCAGCGAATGCCTAGAAGAGTACGTCTGGTCATTTAAAAGACCACAGAAATATATACGTTTTAAAGGTAAGTTTTTCTACTGCTATGTTACTCGTAGTCAAACAAAATACTTAACCTTTCTGTGACAAAGGGCAATATAAATTAAGTTAGGAAAACAGTGCCCTCTTATACATCCCAGCTACTTATATGATAAATATGTTGGTGTATTTGTTTCTTACTAATTTAACCACAGAATCCTGGAAATTAGAACTAAATTAGAACTAAAAAAGGGCCTATAGACTCTTGCCCAGTAGTTGTTATCAGGACAGGATAATAACCTATCGTACACACCATGTTATAGTTGTGCTTTAAATGTCTTGAGCAACAGAATGTCTCTTGGGACATTGTTGCCCATCCTGACTCATCTAGATAACTGTCAAGAAGTTTATTCTGGTAGCCATCCTACATTTTTCTGATTTCATCCCATCATTTATTACCTGCAGTGGAACCTCACAATTATGAACACCTGGGAAATAGAGGTTTTTACATTACTATTGCTCTTTTTAAAGTTTACAGCGACATTGTTGCCCATCCTGACTCATCTAACTGTCAAGAAGTTTATTCTGGTAGCCATCCTAAATTTTTCTGATTTCATCCCATCATTTATTACCTGCAGTGGAACCTCACAATTATGAACACCTGGGAAATAGAGGTTTTTACATTACTATTGCTCTTTTTAAAGTTTACAGCTGAATATTGACCTAATACAGCTTTGAAACTTTACTATGCAGCAGAAACATGCTTCTTTCCCTTTTTTGTAGTTTGTTTAGTTTGTTTAATGTACAGTATGTACTGTATTTGCCCTATGCAGCAGAAACATGCTTCTTTCCCTTTTTTGTAGTTTGTTTAATGTACATTATGTACTGTATTTGCCTTCTTTTTTGCTGCCTGATTGTGTATTTCCACTTCCAAATGAAGTGTGTGAGTTGACTGGTCAGTTTATAAGCATGGTGTTTGTGTCTCTGAGATTCTACTGTGCTTTGTTGTTTGTTGTCTTTTTAACAATGCCTATTACCATAGCATCTCACTTAGAAAAAACAATTTAAATCAGTAATATTGTAGTATCTATCTACAATGATACTTCATTAAAAAGGACAGTGTCAATTCATGATGGCTAATTATTCTACCATTTTGCAATTCTAAGTCAATTCTCTCTATCCTTGGTGTTTAACCACTTCATATATTTATTAATGGGTATCACAGTTTGTTTAATCTTCTGAAAACCAAGCAGTTCTTTTAACTTTTCCTCATTAAGTCAATAATCCCAGCACCATAGCCATTTTTGTTAGTATTAATTGAACTGTTTCCAAACAACCTACATTTTTTCTGTTGCTGAGGTGCCCAGGGCTGAATGCAATGCAGAACAGAATGTAGTATTCCAGACATAGTCAGTTTATTTTGTTCATTAACTCTTTCAACACTATCCTGATTCTGTTGTTTTAGATTCCTTAGGTGGAGCTTGGTCCAGTCTTCAATTTTTTTTGGAGTAAGGTGACAATTTGAAATTCTGGTTAAAGGTAGCAATTTTTAAAAATATATTTTGTATTATAATTCATATATGACAAGTGATATTACTTTATTGATGCATGGATTTCACACTTTAAAATGATTATTTATATAGTGCCATCGGTGTGGGCAATTAATATTTAGAGATAATTACAAAATAGTACATCTCTACCCCGTGGAATTTACTGCTTGAAGGCCCAAATCTTCATGTGTGTAGTCCCAACCCAATGGGATTATGTACATGAATAAGGATTCCTCATGAAATTTGTGTAATTCATGATAGGAAGGACAGTTTTCTGGTTAGTGCACTGGACTGGGAAACAAGAGATTTTAGTTGATCTCTTGGCTCCACCTTTATTGATATGAGCTTGGTCAAGACCTTTATTGTTCTATGCCTTTTATATATTCCCGGGACAGAGACTCTCTCTTATTCAGTGTTTTTACAGTTCAACACAATGTGACTGTCATCTCATGGTAAGTCTGTAGCTGCTACTGTGTTACAAATAATAAATATATCTGCATGAAAAAACCACATTGCCATTCCACAAGAAATACTAGCTTTTGACATTTTGTTTTTGTTTTGAATCAGAAGAAAATGTTGGAATTTCAAAATTTGTCTCGGAAAATTTCTTAAAAATATAACTTTAAAGCATTTCATTTAGAGTTGAAATTTAATATAAAATCTGAAATATGTTATATCAAAATGTTATTATCTAAACATCAAAATGAAATGCATCAAAGAGATAGTAAAAAAACTCAAACACTTTTACGTTATCAAAGCTAGACATTTCAACCATATTGAAATGAAACAAGAAAGTCAAAATAATTCATTTTGACATTTGTCTGCTGAAAGTTTTGTTCAAATCAACACATTCCAATAAAGCATTTTGATTTTGGCACAACTACATTTTCCACTTAAAAATTAATCTGAAAATTCTTTGACCAGCTTTAATGCTAATTCCCCTCAATATGGACTATGTGAACATGGAATTAATATTGAAAATACATCAGAAATTTGGGGTAAAAATAAATTACATTGTAATTGTCCCAAAAGCTTGCATTTTAAATGTAGGAAATTAAAAATTAAACTTCAATCCAAATGTGTTAAAGTACAAACATGAACAGTTAAGGCACTCCAAAATCCTTAACTCTATCCTGTAATGACACTTTCCAAAAGCATGTGATTATGATTAAGGTATTTTAATGTTTGTGATCCCAAATTAGATTAGATTTTGAAAGATGCATTCTTTTTTTTCTTTTCTCCTCATGGTGCCACCACAGGGCAGAGTTAAGTCATCTGGGTGCTCTGTCTGTGCATTTCCACATTTTAACATATTTGAATTAAAGTATAACACAAACACGGTTCGAAGAAAATCTTTTGGGGGGAGAGAGAACTTTTATGAGGAATCCTTTATGTATCCCATAGGAACATAAAAGTGACAATCACCACCAAATAGCAACTGGAGCACCAGTGTAGCATCAAGATGCATTTGGGGTTGTGTAAGATTGTAAGATGTAAATTCTTAATGTTTTCCCAGTCTACTGGAAGAAATAACAAGACAAAAATAAAGGGCCCTGACAGCTCACAACATATCTTAAGTTTCAGTTGGGAGGGTTGCTCTGGCCTGTTGGTCTGTTGTGTTGTCAAAGAAATCACATATGCCCATTGTTGGGTTCCCAGAGGAAGTGGCAGGGAAAGAAAGGGTCCCTCAGGTACTGAGACTGAGCAGAGTTGGTTTTAATTGTGTACATACTGTATCTCGCAAGCCAGTCAGTAAGCAGAAGGAACTGATCTCATTTAGCATTACCCATTGGTGCCCTGAGACGTTATGTGCACCCTCAAAGGGCCTGTGCATAAAACCTGGGTTACTTTATACTATTTCCATCATATGGGCTTTCTGCCTTACTAATCTTCATTGTGATCTTTATCTGGAGTCACATTTCTGGGCTGGGAGACTGTGGTTCTAATACAGCTTTTTGTTTTACCCAGAGACTTGAGAACTGTATTGCCTTGGATTGTTTTGTAAAATATACGAGTTAGATTTGTTTTGCAGAAACAACCTTTTTTTTTCTGAATAGGATTTTTTTTCTTAGAGAAAAATGTGTATAAATATATCTGTTAACAGAATCTGTCTAAATTAATCCCTATTTTCTAACTCTCACTAGGTTCAAGATGGCAGATTGCAACTGTGTAATGTGGGGAATATTTTGGCTCATTGTCCTGGTGTTTTTAGGTTGGCCCTTAAGCATAATCTTGGGTGCCCTCTATGGGTTCCTCTCCCCTCTCACTACCTTAATAGGACTGGATGACTTCAGTGAAGCACTTCTGAGAGGAGTAAATCTGGGGAGGCAGTGTGCTAAGAATGTACAAAATGGAAAGCCCCTCTGCTGAGCAATGAAGACAGAATTGCAACTGACAAGCTTTTTACTGTGTGCTGTACTGGATTTCACAGAGTTATTTTGTTAACCTTAAAATATTTGCATTTCTGTACAAAAGTTGTTTGGTTTTTCAATAATGTATAAATGGCACTTGATAATCTCTGTAAGAAACTATAGCAATGCTGGTGTTTGTCTTTTAAAACCACTCTTCCTGTTTTCACAAAGAGAAATGGTGCTGTCTTCGTTTATTTGTGTATGTGGGTTGAAAGGAGAGCGAACCAGAACTGAAACTCCAGAGCAGTACCTCAAATTCATGTGAGGAATAAGGACCACAGTTCTCAAAACTTGGGTCCAAACTGGGAGCACCCACATTTGAAAACATTGTCCCAGAACTCAAATCAGTCTAATAGGAGTAATCAAAAGATGCTCAGATTTGGAAAGATGGGAATTTGTGTTTGAACCCTATTTTGGGGAAGGTTTGGCTCCTGAATTATACTTTGCCTCATTATAAAATATGTGCAAGTTAGATTCTGGTCAGATCACTGTTTCTTTTTAAGTATTTATTCATTCATATGTATATTTAAATGGATGCAGAGCTTAATTGTTTATAGTAGCCATTAGCTTTCTTTCCTCTTTACCATTTTGTTTAATTTACTAGGAGTATTCATGATGGCAACTTTGTCTGAAAGTTCATTATGCTGAAATATTAATTTGAAGTATATTCATAAATAGTTCTCATAAATACAAACACTGAAGTTTCTTTTGCTTTGCCATTTTATTATTTTATGATACACTAAACCATGACATTGTCCAACCAGTTGTCAAGAAACTTTAAAGACATGCTAAAAATTATAGAAACCAAGTGTTTTATAAGTTTTCATTCTTTCTTTATATAGCCTATCTTTGCTGCATTTCTCTTCTCAAATTTTTTTTTAAGTAAACATTTGTATGGAAAATTCTTTGGGTTTATAAGAACTTATTTGATCCTGTGAAGCACACATTAGTTGGGTGATACTGAATGTATAGCCATTATATGGCAGAGTGAAATTGGCTATATGCTTACCTGTGTATTTGCAGTAATTGCTTAGATATTTTGCCTGGAAAGGAATTGGAGGGAACTTAACTGATTCTGACACAGGGTCTGGGACTAAGAGGGCCAATTTTCTGATGCAACATGGCAAATTCATTGTATCTAGCAAAGAAAAGGTCTTGTTTCCTCAAAACAATGTGAGTCTTTCCAATCTGTAATGGCTGTTCAGTAGGTTCAGGGACACAAAGCGAAAAGAACAGGAAGAGAGTCCTGAAAGACAGAAATTTCAGTTGTGGATCTGTTCATGAAATATGGCTCATAGCAATTGTGTCTTCAACATCTTAAGCAGTTTCACTCCTGAGTGTAGATCGTTTCATGTTTTTAATAACTGTAAGGCCTATACAACCTATTTTTTTTAGAAAATAGATGTGGTGGTCCAGTTACAGTTAGGATAAGAGCCATAAATCTGAATTTTCTGAGTTCTGGATATTTGCAGACTTAGCTGTGAAGTTTCATTGACTTGTTTGCACTAGCTTTTAGTGAAAACAACTAAACTATGACTTATTCTTATCATTCATTAGAGTGCAGCTAGCTGTGCTGCATGTATTTAAGGTTGCCCAGTCCTTCCTCTTACAATATCCTCATTTCAATTGCTTATAACTGTCAGTCTGTAACTCTTTATGCTTAAAATGTTGGAGCTGGAAGTCCTCTTCAGGCTGGGAATTATATGAAATAGAGGGGGAGAGACAGATTGCACAAAGACCTGGAAGAGAGAACTGGATAAGGAAACTGAGGATAACGGGGAAAAGGAACTGGGATTGGTTCAACAAAGAGATTGGGACTGAGAAGATACTGGGATCTTAGTGTGCAGATTTGGTCTGCTTAAGCAAGGGGACTGGGACTGGGGAGAAAAGCCTCAGGAATGGAAACTGGGTAGGTGAGACTTGATAATGAGCTGGGAGCGGGTAGAGGCAGGAGTAGAACAGAGACAGATTGGAGAGGGTAGGACAAAAGGGGTCAAACTTGGGAAAAATTGTCAGAACAGTTTGTTCCCATGAGAGCAACTTTCCTCCTGGAATGGAACCCAAGATTCCTTAGCCTCATCTTTCTTCTGCACCCAGCAAATATCTCTGGAAGCCAAGTGTATGATTCATCCCTGTCCAGTGCTTATTTACTGTAGATGACAGCCTACTACAGGTTGGACCTCCCTGGTCCGGAACCCTCAGGACCTGAGCTTTGCCGAACCAGGGAAATTGCCAGATCAGGGGAGGTCAGTGCTCCCCTTCTGGCTGCCCAGCTTCTGAGTTCCTCTCCTTGGGGCTCCCTGCCCTGCCACTCAACAGGTCTCCCCACCCTGCTGCCCACATGCTGCCCCAGGGTCTCCTGGGGTTCCCAGCTGAGACCATCTAGCCATTGCAGGTCCTGCTGCCATGGGGTGCTCCCCAGAGTTTCCGGCTACACTCCCCTGCTGCCAGGGCCAGCCTCTCTTCCACTGGGGATTCCCTGGGGTTCTCTGCTAGGGGCTGCCTGCCTTCGCTAGTCCTGCTTTAGCCAGAGCATTCCGCCAGTCACCTTGCCCCCACTGCCACCAGCAGTTTCCTGGGTTCCCAGCTAGACTGCTCTGCTGCTGCTGGGGGATTCCTAGCTGGGATGCCCACCGCTGGCATCCCCGCAGGAGCTGAGGGTTCCCTGGTAGGGCTGAGACTCCCTGGCCACCTGCCCAGTTGACTTCAGGAGTTCCCAAGCTGGGATGGAGGCTCCTCAACTGCTGCCTGGCCCTGCCTGGGCTCCCATGTTCTCTTAGCTGGCTCCCACTCCCACCTCTGGGGCTCTTCGGTCTAGCAGGCCATGTTGCCAGACCAAAAAGTCCCAGATTTGGGAGGTTCAACCTTGTACTGCTGTAATTTACTTCCCCAACTCAAGTGACAAAGATCTGTATGACATCTCATATTCTGATCATGTGAATGTCTATGTAGTGCTAAGATGGAATTTTCTATTTGCATTTTTTAAAACAATAGGAAAATACACAGAGAAAGAACATTACGAATGATGGTTGCAAAGTAAAATACTCAAAAGTTAGGAAATGTCAGTATTCAGTTGCTAGTGTAATCTTAATTTGCGCCCCTTCTGTGTCTAATAACATGTTTGCATACTATTTTTCAACAGGATCTCTGCATTATTCACGGTCCAGGATAGCCCTGCTTTGGGCATGAGTCGGGCGTGAGTAGGTTTGTTGCTTATTGGGGGTATGCAAGGTTAAGACACCTCCCTATCACATACCCTCAGTGTGAGGGAGCCTTGTCTGTGCCTGCCTCAGGTTGACATCTCATGCCACAAGCAACATGCTAATGCTCCCCTCTCAGCCTACAAGGGCTCTGCTGTCCTTCTGCATGTTAGTGATGGTCTTGTTCCAAACCCCAAGTCCTCCATGCATCCTCTAGTGTCCAGCCCTGATCCACTGGACACTCACAATATTCGCAGATTCACTGTGCCAAGAGAGAGAATACATCCCAGTGTACAGGCAGTCCCCGGGTTACGTACAAGATAGGGACTGTAGGTTTGTTCTTAAGTTGAATCTGTATGTAAGTCGGAACTGGCATCCAGATTCAGCCGCTGCTGAAACTGATCAGCGGCTGATTCCAGGAAGCCGGGGGCAGAGCAACTCTGCCTCGGGCTTACTGTAGTCAGCTGCTGGTCAGTTTCAGCAGCGACTGACTTGGGGACACCTGGGGCAGAGCAGCTGGGGTGCTGCCGGGTTGGTCCAGTAGTGCCGAGGAGCGGCGCTGCGGGACCAACCCAGCAGCGCCCCAGCTGCTCTACCCCAGGCGTCGTGGGCAGAAAAGCCTGGTCTGCTCGGGGGGAGGGGGCAAGGGGTCACTGGAGGCCAAGGTCAGCCCCCAGAGCCTCACCCCTCCCCAGATAGTCTGCAGATCGTGGAGGGCAACTTTGGGGAGGGACAGCCCATACGCACCGCGGCTGTCCCGCTGCGGGCGTCCTCCGAGGCTTTGCTCCCCATCTCCCTGGTCTGACCAGCAGACCAGGGAGACAGGGAGCAGCTTTTCTCGCCCTGGAGAACGCGGGCTGCGGGACCGCGGCTCATCTGGGCGTCCCACCGCTCCCGTTCTCTGGGGAGAGAAAAGCGCCGTTCGTAACTGCGGATCCGACATAAGTCGGATCCGCGTAACTCAGGGACTGCCTGTACTAGTTACACAACATCAGATCACACAACATTTGCTTATATTTATAGTGAAAAGAAGAAAAAGTTTATTTACCATAGCATAGAGATTCCATTGACAGCAAGCAGAAATATTGAAAACAAATGGTTGTGTAAAATAAAGTCATAGCATGCATACTGAAGCCTAGCCATAATTAACAAGACACCCAGGGTATGTCTACACTACAAAGTTAGTTTGAACTAATGGACGTTAGTTCGAACTAACTTTCATAGGTGCTACACTAGCGCTCCGTTAGTTCGAATTTAATTTGAACTAACGGAGCGCTTAGTTCGAACTAGGTAATCCTCATTCCACGAGAATTAAGCCTAGTTCGAACTAGCTAGTTCGAATTAAGGGGTGTGTAGACCCTTAATTCGAACTAGTGGGAGGCTAGCCCTCCCCAGGTTTCCCTGGTGGCCACTCTGGCCAACACCAGGGAAACTCGTCTGCCCCCCTCCCGGCCCCGGACCCCTTAAAGGGGCACGGGCTGGCTACAGTGCCCGTGCCAGGTGCAAGC